GAGAGAGAGAGAGAGAGAGAGAGAGAGAGGGTATGGAGTAATCTAATGCGAAATTAAATTGCTCATAACATTAATGGACGTTTTTGTGTTTATTTTAATTCTTAAATTAAATTTCCATAAATTTTCTTATCTTTGCTTTGAATGTTACTTATTTTTCATCGAAAGATCGATATTCAGTGAGAAGAAAAGAAATATAATAAAATAATTAGATACATTAAATTTTAGAGAAAAATTGTTTGATTTAAACGATAATTAAGAAAAATATTTTTAAACACAAATCATAAATATATAATTCCTTTGTCTTCTCACTGTTTGTTTTCTCATTGATATTTGAATTTTAAATTGAAATTGAAAAAACGAGGAGGCATCATTTGAAAAGTGAAAAAAATTTCCTTTATTTTTATACTCGAGAGAAATTAATAGCCAGCTCGATATTAAATTAAATTTTATAGCGGATAATTCTTGGTCGTTTCTTACGACTGCGAGAGGAACACGTACCTTAAATTCCATGTTTTAATTTTCTCGAATATCAAGCAGTAATATTCTTCCTTTCCATATTTCAGCCGTGTAAATGTATTACCATTCCTAGAATGTAACGCAACAGTGTACCATTATAGTCAAAAGAAACGTTTCCCGAATAAACAATTGCACGGTTGATTCATGAAACATTTCTCGTGTTGCTGTTTCATCTTTAACAAATTTACCATCTACTTTTAATGAAATAAGATTTAATACCGGAATGTGAAAGAGAAATAATTGTTGCGTTTCTTCCTGAAAGTTACTTTGGCGAACAAGTTACGATTATATAATTTGCATGCTACACGAGATAAACTAATCTCTCCTGGCTGGAGAGAAAATAGATTTTTGAAATAAAGAGAGATAAATAATAGAAGCATTTCTCTTTAGCCAAATAGAATTTTTTCTGAAATGATAATCAACATAATGAAATAACATTAACTTATATAAGTATTTTTTAAAATGAATATTTCACTTGAGATATACATAAATATAAAATTAAAATAAAATATATAATAAAAAATAATAAAATATATAAAATATAAATAAAAAATATAAAATATCGTATTTTTATCATCCAAAATGGAATAGAAATT